AAGATTGACAGTACGCTGATCACGGCTTTCATTGAGCGATGGCAGCCGGATACAAACTCTTTCCACCTTCCGTTCGGTGAGATGACGATCATGTTACATGACGTCGAGGCCATTCTGGGGATTCGTGTTGAGGGTAAACGACTTTGTGCTGTGGCTGATGCGGATCAGGCAGATTTGCTGGCGGAGTTGTTGGCGGTGGACAGGGCTGCACTGTACACCGAGGCGCTAGGTGTTTGGGAACACGGAGGTGTGAAGATCGCATCCGTGTTGCAGCGGTGTTTGTACCCCAGTGCACGTAGGACGCACGACGCACAGCTGAGTGCTTATGTTTTTCTACTCCTCGGATGTACCTTGTTTCCGGATAAGAGCGGCGGAAACAAGCTCAGGCCACGCGACATAGTGGAGGCGTGTGACCCCGACAGTGTAGGCCAGTTTTCCTGGGGATCGGCTACGTTGGCGTATTTGTATCGCCAACTAGGATTTGCGAGTCGGGCTGACGCGGCAGGTATCACTGGGTGTCTGACTCTATTGCAGACCTGGATATACGAGTACTTTCCTGCATTGCGACCACATCGTGACCCAGTTCCTATTGATGAGGGGATGCCGCATGCTTGTGCGTGGAGTCCGCGCTCGGAGAAGAAGTCCGTTGACCGCCTCCGATCGATACGGTTGTTGCTGGACAGGCTGTCCCCCTTAGAGGTAACGTTTATAAATTGTTTCTACATTTTATTATTTGCACATATTATATTCATGTTATAATCTAAAGAATGTAAACATGAAAAACTAAAATGCAGCTAGGGTGTTCCATTCGTGGATCCGGTCATGATATAGCGCATCCCAACCCTCTACGCTCGCTGTGAGAATGTTGTACCACCGAGGTATAATCGGTGGCACTGGAAAATCGGATGACATGTCTAGTCGGATGAAATGTCTGTATGACGACCCAAGAAACGCAATAGCTAGCTCTCTGACCGGTGTGGTGACAGTCTCACGCGACCGCCAAGGGAGAACCGTGGTACAAGGATAATAAGCTTGACTATGCACTCCCAGGCCGAAATGCATGACTGCGCATTTGTAAATGTTTGCAACGGCAAACAGATCTAGGGGCGCGTCAAAATAATGATTTTGGCCGCAAGGTCCACCTCCCCACCGGATACGCCGCAGAGCGCCATCCAAGTCATCCTGGTACACATGACGATAAACATTTCGGTTAGATGCAATTTCGCTGTACATCAACTGACGCACCAAACCGTAGTTGTCTTCGCTCATTTGAAAAACATCGGCCACGACCCGGAATCCGCAGTTACCATCTCCGACTACATCATTCCACCCTTCCAAGTACGGCATGATGATCGCAGGTATCCTTTCCTTGTACGGAAACTGATCAACATCGTTTCTTCCTATTCACCATATAATTATAGACAGTTAAGAAGGCAGGAGTAACACTTTAAAACTATGTGCAATGTAAACAACCAAAACGTACCAGTTCTCAGGGGCATATTCACAGACGATGAATATTGACTACGACTAGATGACGATGTCCGACCACGAGCACGACCACGACCAAGACCACGGATATACTCAAACGCACTCCTGTTCCGCCGTTGTCGACCTCGAGGACGGTCAACTCCTTCGGGTTCCTCATAATCTAAGGTAGACGTGTGGAACATGTCATGAAGTACATGAGTAGCGTCACGAATAATAGAAGGATGGCTGGAGGACACTCGGTCGTACATCGAACAAAACTGCTCCAACTCCTCCTGTTCACGGTCGGCCGTTTGAGTGTCTGCATGCTCACCAATAACAAGCGTCCTCCAGAATGAATGGACCTGATCAACATGTAACGACGCCCTTTCTTCTGTAATAACGCGGTGAATGGTGCATGCGCAAGGTAATCCATGAGTTACTGAAATAGCACACCCACACCGAGCATACACTTCGTCAGCCAAGTCCCTCATCCTGTTCAGCTCAGTGAGAATCAACCTCAAGCAGTAGTGCGACACACGACCATGGAGAATCTTAAATATAAAATGGCTATACATCGTACCATGTCGTCCTCTGGAGTCCTCTAGAGAGTTCCTGATATCGTTCTTCTGAGTTTCAATTGACTTGTTCAGTCTAGCGAACAGTGTATCCAAAGCAGCGGTCGATGAATCAATCCAGTCCTTGGTAGCTCTATGAGCGCTCTCAACTCTACATGTTGTAGTGTTCCCAAAATGAAGTACCTGGCTTGTCCAATATTTGACAAACTTTTCCCTGTGAGGGACCCATTGATGCATCACATAGTCCACCAGTGCCGGACACCACTGGTACGAATCCCTAAAGTTAGCGAATGCTCGCTCATACGCTTCCTCTGTGGTAGCCTGTAGGATCTTCCGCCACTTACCATTCACCAATCTCTCTGCCATTTCCAAATTCTTCTTGAAAAGGTTGTAGGCTTTCACTTTCACGCAGTTGTTGATGTGCCATGTGCACAATAAGTGGTTCGATTCGGGAAACAGCTCTGCTATGGGGGCAAAGAGACCTCCCTCACAGTCGCTGACGATGGCTGCTGGATGAACATTAGGCCCGATGTAGTTTCTCAGCTTCTCCAACACCCAATAATAACTTGGAGCCGTCTCATCCTTGATGATTGCATGACCAATCAGAAAGTTCTGGTTCGTTGGAGTCATCCCCATGATCTCAACCAGTGGGAACTTGTACTTGTTTGTCTTGTATGTTGAGTCGATCAAAATCACAAATGGCCAAGACTTGATCATATCAGCACAATCAGGATGCACAAGGAAAAGATGAGTCACCTCGCTGTATCTTCATCAGAATCAAACCAGAACAGGTAACCACGTGATTGTGCCTGGTGTAGCAGCTGCTGTATAGGGTTCCTTCCCTCTGACCGTTCAAACCTGAGTTGCTGTCTGACGTTGTAGATGTGTCTTCGGTTTGGATGGTCTTCTGGAAATTTCTCTAACACAGATGCTAATATTTTAGCAGGCTTCACTTGAGCATCACTCATTTCTTTCACAACTAGTTTCGCAGCAGGACTTAAGCCGCTCAGTTGTCGATGACCCTCTTCATATACTATCATCTCATGGTTGTGATACCCCCATTTAGAGTAACCAATCACTTCCCAACCGTCACGACTCCGTAGTTGTCGAACCTTTACTCTGAACTCACACCCACAACCTTTCCGCTTTGTATCAAACCGAGTGGCTGTACGAAAATCTCTTTCTTCTCTTTTGCGATAACGGTCACATCTCAAAATGCGATCCATTCTACCATCCCGTTGAGATTTATGAGTTACTACTACCAAGCAAAATCCAGCTGCAATTGCAACCTGTTTTGCCCAATCAATCGCCTGTTGAGCTTCTTCGAATGGACCATCATGTCCAAATATCCCACTGTAATCATTTCCGTCTCCACCATATTCCTGCATCAATTATATATTACAATAAATACATTTAACGGATAATACATTTAATTTCTATATTTACACAGAATTAACACAAAAAAAAGCATAATTATATATAATCAAACTTAATTTTTATAAAAACCCAATTCGAATTTTCAAACTAAATTCAAAAATATACCATTTCGAATTTTCAAATTTAATTTTAAAAAAACCTATTTCGAATTTTCAAATTTAATTTCAAAAAAAAACCATTTCGAATTTTTTTTAAAAATCATTTTCGATTTTTTTTTTAAAAAAAAAATTAAATAAAAAACAACAACAAAATCAAAAAAGAAAAAAAAAATTAATTTATAAGGGTGGCGTCTGCCAGGGCTGCCACAGCCACTGGACTGGCGCCTGGCAGGGCCGCCTCACCCAGTGGAGTGGCGCCTGGCCAGGACGCCAGTCTGGTGGTCTGGGCGTCTGGGCTGGACGCCACTCTGGTGATTCTGGCGTCTGGCTTGGACGTCCAGGCTACGGTTTGGGCGTCCATCCTACGCGCCGGAGCCACTCCGACGGTAAACCGTGAATTTTAACGGTGACTTACCTCGTTTTCCGTCGACGACGACGTACCTCCGGCGTCCCCCGCATCTCCGGCCTGCCCTCCGGTCTCCCCCGGCGAGCCAGTACGGCTCCACATTTTTTACACCGAGATTATTTCAAGTTTAGAAAATGGGCATAATGGTCAAACCATATTATATTTGTGGGCTTTATATGATAAATTGCGGGCGATGTTTAGCGTTTCACTAAAAAAATATATAATCCATATTGTTTTTATATTATTTTAAAGAAATTGTCTTTAGGAATTTTTTTTTTTAAAAAGATAAACAAACCTCTTTGTAAATTATCTGTTAAGTAAATTTTTAATGATATAACAAAAAGTTAACTTATATGTAAGTAACCTTGATTGTAGCAAAATCAATACTCCGAATATCTTGAATCCTGAATTTTAGAATGAATTAAAAAATTCATTTATATTAGGACATCATCTAGATTATGGTTATATTCCATAATAAAATAATATAATTGTTTTAATAATTAATCTTAAAAAATGTCTTTTTTTAATAAAATAATAAATATTTTTTGGAAATGTATGTTTTTTTTTTTTTTTTTTTTTTGGGTTGGTGAAGATTTAAAAATGTATGTTAAGGATTGCTTCAAAAAAAAAATGTATGTTAAGGAAGTTAAAAATAAAGTTGACTTAGTTGAAAGAAATTATTACTACATTTAAATATATGACATAAAAAAGAAAATATATCTTTCGTTAAAATAGTGTGAGGAAATTAACCTAGATTTAATTTCTAATGCCATATATTTTCTAATGCCATATATTTTTATGATATCAATTTGACTACTCCACTTATCACCTTAATACGACACAAATTGAATTAACCTAGATTTGACCTAATTTGACGAATCAATCGACTCGTTAACCACCTCTACAAACAAGAAAATATATCTTTCGTTAAAATAGTCTGAGGAAATTTTGGTAGGAGGCGAAAACTAAAAGCTACCCTTACCTTCCATTCAATGCAGTTAAGACAAACTAACACAGAGCCAAACAAAGTCACCAGCCTTTCAACTTTCATGCAAAAATCTCTCATTACACCTATATAGGAAACTTCCTTAGATAGTCCCTACCACCATAAACATCTTCATGAAATTGACTAGGAAATTGCAAGAAAATGGCTTAATTAGACGTCAACTGAAAGCCAAAATACTAAAATGGTTAGTAGGCCAATGCAACAGAGAAAATTTTCAGATATAAGGGTCATAACATTGAACATTAGCTACTCAACAAGTAGGTAAAATCGCGCTTATAAACTGTATGTTAGTGTGATCTGAGCAGGAGGAAGTACAAGGAGAGAAATTTACGGTACCATAACAGAAGATGGTGGTCTCAAAGACTATAGGGAAGTACCAACTTGGTCGAACGATTGGGGAAGGAACATTTGCCAAGGTCAAGCTTGGTAGAAACAGCACAAATAACCAAATTGTTGCTGTTAAAATCATTGACAAGCAGATGGTCCTGTCAAAGAAACTTATGTCTCAGGTGAATTACCAAATTTATTTCCTAACAAAGTTTTGGATCATGCATAATATTTACAAGAATCGTTACGTTAATTAAGATACTTTTGACATGTTTGCAACAGGTGCAGAGAGAAATCAGAACGATGAAGCTCTTGAATCATCCGAACATTGTAAGAATACACGAGGCAAGTGTTACTTTGCATCACACCCTATATATTATCATATGATTTACATGTGTTTTTCTTAGGAGAAAAGAACAAAGTTTTAACTCGCCAACCATCTGTCACAGGTTATCGGCTCAAAGACAAAGATTTACATAGTCATGGAATATGTTGCAGGAGGGCAGCTCTCAGACAAATTGGTGAGAACACTCCTTAATTATTTTGGTTATTAGTTCTCAGTTAGATCATTTGTAGGTTATCTGATTCTGTTCTTGATTGTCAAGACTTATGCGGAGAATTTAAGTGAGGAGGAAACACGAAGATATTTCCAGCAGTTGATTGATGCAGTAGACTATTGCCATTCCAGAGGGGTATATCACAGAGATTTAAAGGTAACGCGAATAGCTGCAAGATGTACCTACTCTGAATTCTGAAAACTATCAGTTTTTTCAAAACTCACCTGGTCTTAAGAAAATTCTGCCAAACTGATTAAAAGCTTAAATTCCCCTAAAATATATATAGAAAATACATGTTAAACCAGAAATTGAGATTGATTAATCTGATCTTGCCCTGAAAAGAATAGCATATATTTGTACATAACCCGACTGATCCTGTTAAAATCCCAATAATTATATTAACTGATCCTGATGTGTACCTGAACCTAGCCGACCTGTTTGACATGGGGTAATTCTCTGTTTCTCATTGTGAGAAACAAGTTTTGTTTCTCATGGGAGATGTGTCAAGATCTGGGGCTCCCACTCATGACACATACGCGGTCCCCACTAGTGAAAAACATCACATTATTTTCCAAAATGTCGTTATGAGAAACAAAAGTGTTTCTCATAATGAGGAACTGGGGCTCCCTCTTTGACATGTCTTCATCTAATATGCAGCCAGAAAATCTGCTTTTGGATAGCCAAGGAAACCTCAAAGTATCAGATTTTGGACTCAGTGCTTTGCAAAAGGTACATATTTAAATATCATCAGTTTTTTTTTTTTTTTTTTTTTCTTTTCTTTTCTGAAATATATGAATTACTGTTTAGTTGTTCAACTTACTAAAGCTCTAACTAATGCTGATAGCCTGGAAGCTTATTATCAACAGCATGTGGTTCTCCAAGCTATGTTGCACCTGAGGTAAGTGGAAAATATCATATACCTCTGTTGCTAAGATAATTGTTTTCAAAGTTCAAACAAATAAATACAAGGCAAAAAAATTCAGGATACCCTTCTCACGAGATGAACCCCTAAACTCTAATGAGACTTCGTGTAGAATCAAATAAAGGCGCGAGCTACTACAATTATCAACATACGTAGCATAGATAAAAGGAGATGACTGATAAGTGATAAGATAAATTGTTCAAACAATGTTGAAAAGAAAGAAAGGGGAATGAAAGAACGAACTCTAACATTGTCTAATTGACAGCTACTGAACCATAAAACCTATGACGGGGCAGCTGCAGATGTCTGGGCTTGTGGAGTGATCTTATTTGAACTGCGCACTGGTTATCTACCATTCACTGATGCCAATCTACTGAATTTGTACACAAAGGTATTTTCCCTAAAAAAGAAGAAAAATAGGAAATGCAAGAATGAAAGTTCTTACATATAGTACATAAGAAATCTTCATCTGACATATTGTCCTTTGCATAGATATTGAGAGCTGAGTATGAATGTCCGAAATGGTTCACACCAAGTCATAAGAACCTTATTGGAAAATTATTGAATCCTCGTCCGAAGAAGGTAAGTGGATTTATTTTCATATATCAGCAGTCAGCACCGAAAAAAAAAGGTCAATCTAATCAGCCTCATCTTCTGTCATTTGCAGCGAATTACAGTAGCAGAAATCTTGGAAGATGAGTGGTTTCAGAAAGATTATCAGCCTACTGCAGGAATAGACTTCCAAGGAAAGAATAACACAGATGATGTTGTTCGAGAATTTTTCAAGTCACAAAAGGTAATGACAATGCCAATACAAGAAACATGATTGACTAATTACAATAATAAGATGAACATTCTAGCTAATTGTCAAGGCTACCTTGAATTGCAGGAGAGTTCAGAAGATGTAACCATCGCTGAAACTCAAGGATTTATCAATGCCTTCCAACTAATAGCAATGTCATGCGACCTTGATCTATCAGCAATGTTTGAAGAGCAGGCAAGTTCATCTATACTAACAATATGAACAAGAAAATGATTCTAAAAAAAGATGCATATATCTTATTGGCTGAAGTAGGCAAGAAATCCTTCAGAAAAACATACAGAAACTGTAAATTAGCATTCTTAGGCCTTGTTCTCTTCCCTTAATTTTACTCAACTGAAACTTCTTTTACTGATTCAAACCGCTTTTTGTTGATTAAGTTGATTTTGATTGAGCAAAACTGTTTAATGAAGGTTATCATGCTGTTTTTTTAACTAAAGATGAAATGTGCTTAATGGATTATATATAGTAGTTGAAATTTTCAGCACTTAACTGTATATTTCATCCCTCAAGTTTGTGATACTAACTGGTATCTCGAAAAACAGGGTGACAAGGAGAACAGGATAATGCTGGGATCCAAATACACAATCACTGAAACTTTACACAAGATAGAGGAGGCTGCAAGCAATGCGAGTCTTTCAGTTGAAAGGATGAATAACAGCAAGATGCAAATAAAGCTAAAATCGAAGTTCCGTTCATTTTTTAATCTGTTGGCAGAGGTGGTTGAAGTGGCACCAACAGATTGTGTTGTGGAAGTATCAAAACCTGCTGGAGAATCAGAGCTATATCAAGAGGTAATTTCAGAATTCTAACTCTGAAATTTTCTCAAGATAACTTAATAATCTTTGAAAAATGCTGAACTAGCAATATTTGATATGTTCTGAAACAGTTTTGTCGAAGTTTGTCTACTTTGCTAACATAAGGATCAGGCCAACATCTATTATGAGGTATCAAATGATGAAAACATCACTAGCTCAAGGACAAAAACGCGGAGAACATGGATCACTTGATATCGACTCTGAATAAGTGATTGATAGCTTCAAGCTTCCGGGAATTAATTACGTTTTAGTTGAGTGAAGTTGTATTGTGACAGTCAAAGAAATGCGAGTAAAAGGTAATTCTGAAATACAACTAAGCTTTGATCAGTTGATCCATGTGGTTGGGAGACATAATGTCAATCATAAAATTAAGCTTGATCCATTTAGTATGTAGTAAGGTAGATGTAGTTGCGTACGTTCTCTGATGCATTATATTCCGGCTTCTAATGCTATTGGCAGCAACGTAAAACAGTAAGTTGAATGAACTACTTCGTCCAACTGAAGTTGGCAGTGTGCATTGATCTTTGTAGTGATTATTTAAGACCGTAGCTGGTTCTAGAGTGTTGATTTCTCCCTCCATGTCGTGCAATTGCTAGTTTATACTCCATATTACACTATCAACGTGACTACAAAATCCAAATAGAGGCAGTATTGGTTCCAAAGCTTCAGCCATTTGTAGAGAAACAATCAACAAAAGATAACTTTAAAGGATTAATTTCAGAAATAAATAAATAAATAAAGTTAGATATACTGTATCAGTCTAGCAAGCCTGACCCACGATCTAACTTTTACACCTGGTTCCATTGCTGAACTTAAACCAGGCCTATAGCCTGGATCCATCATCCTCATCATTATATCAAATTCTGCACCAACAAATTCTGAAATTACTCTCTAATTTAAGAATGAATTTTAAAACTCTCACTTCCTTTTCATTCATATCATACAATAATCGTGACTTATAATCAATTAATCAAAGCCTTAATCTCATAAGTAGAGTCGGTTACACGAACCAAAACTGATTATTGTTATACTATAAGCAATAAAACAGAAATTACTTATCTCTTGATGCGTGAACCAGAACTGACAATGGCCGTGCCGTGGCGAACCACTGACCTAAAAGACGATTCCGCGCTACCTCCCGATGCAGTAGACAAGAAGCGGTCGCCCTCTAGGATAAGCATGGCGCCGAAGTTTATGTGCACTCACAAACCCGACTGGAATTTAGAATGCTTGCCCAGAAAAATAAAGAACAGTGTTTAGTATTTTAGAGAACAGAGAGAGGTACGAATTGTTGTATATTTTGGCCGAAGAAAAACCAAGTATAAATAGGCAGCAAAGGGAAAATGGCTAGCAGAAAAGAAGGAAACTACTCGGCCAAAAAAGCGTCCAGATTAAGTCGATTAATAATCAAGGAGAGTAACGACCAGCTATAATCAAGGAATTAATTGCTAAACACATTCCCAACAGTCAGAAAATCTCAACAGTCAAAACCGGAATAAATGTTAAGGAATATTCAGTCAACAAAGAAATGAAATAAAATCTCCAAAAAGATAAGAGAGACCCACGCCCACGCATCGCATTCCCCAAGTCTCGAGGCCCAAGCCTGACCCAACCCGGCTCAGCTCGGCGCCCGCGCGCGCGTGTGTGGTACAACACCCACCTCCAAGTCACTCAACTAAGTAGTGCTAAGACACTACAACATATAAACAAGGCAAAACCTCTCCCCCCAACCAATGTGGGACTTTTTTCCTTTCATTTGTGAGTCTCCCTCTCTCTTGTTTTCTTCCAACACTCTTGTTTTATATCAAGAACTTCCAACAATCCCCCACAGATTCGAAAATATGAAAAATAAAGGAAGAAAAAAATAATAATTCTGAGCAAAACAAAACAATTGCATAAGTGTTAATGTCTCGCAACTTAAATTAACACATAGTGGACATCAAGCTATGATCCCTCACCTATCAAGTGACCTTCGCCTTGAACTCAATAGGGAGTTAGGGACCCGTCACTTTGAGCCACACAATTGAACATGTTTAATATTATGAAATTCCGCGAATAAAGGTGACGCATTATACTGGCCATACGTCCAAGCCTGGATGCTCATAGGTGCTCTAGAGTATAAGCCCACGAAATACTCATAAGAAGCGGCCACACTTCCACACCTAAGTAGGTGATCCCATCAAGTGTGAGCTACAACACAACTCCAAAAATATGGATATGGGTTCATTAAGAGCCATATGCTCAACCTCTTTCTCATTTGTACCTAAGCACAAAACAAACATCTAGAGATGGAAAAAATATAATGTTCCCCTTTGAACTCATAGTGAGTAGGAGTTCACTATTTCACAATTCATACAACAAGCTTTAGCCCCATCTCTTCCGATGTTTCCAAAACTAGTTTTCTACATAGGCCTTTAGTCAACGGATCCGCAATGTTCTTTTCAGACTTAACATAGTCCAGTGATATCACCCCTTCAGACAACAAATTCTGACAGCCTTATGCCTCAGACGAATGTGTCTCTTCTTCCCATTATAAACATGGTTGTGTGCAACAGCAATCGCAGCTTGCGAATCACAATGAAGTGCAACTAAAGGAGCTGGCTTTCCCCACAGTGGAATATCAGCAAGCATGTTCCTCATACATTCAGTCTCATGACCTGCCAATTCAAGAACAATAAACTTAGATTCCATAGTAGACATAGCAGTACAAGATTGCTTACAAGATTTCCAGGATACGGCTCCACCTTTAAGGGTGAAGACATAGCCACTAGTGGAGTTAATTTCATCATTGTTGGATACCCAGTTGGCATCACAAAAACCCTCCAAAACTCAAGGAAATTTGGAGTAGTGTAAACCCTAATCCATAGTTCCTTAAGGTACCTAAGCAACCTCCTTAGAGCAATCCAATGATCACTACTTGGGTTATGAGTGTACCCGCTCAACCTACTAATAGAATAAGAAATTTCAAGTCTAGTGTAGTTCATAAGAAACATAACACTACCAATAATTCTAGCATATTCAGACTGATCAGCTGGATCACCATTATTTTTCTTTAGGTGGAAGCTCGGATCATATGGAGTCTTAACTGGATCAACATTAAATGAGTCAAACTTCTTAAGAAGTTTTTCAACATAGTGTGATTGATTAAGACAGATGCCATTTGGGGTCCTTTTGATTTTTACTCCCAAAATCACATCTACTTCACCCATGTCTTTCATTTCAAAATTCGAACTCAAAAACTGTTTTGTCTCATTTACTCGATCCAAGTCAGTCCCAAAAATTAACATGTCATCCACATAAAGACAAATAATCACAAAACCAAGACTACCATGCTTAGAATAAACACAAGAGCCACCTTCATTAACATGAAAACCATTACCAGTCATAGTCTTATCAAATTTGTCATGTCATTGCTTTAGAGCTTGCTTAAGTCCATACAATGACTTGACTAACTTACAAACCTTGTTCTCTTGGCCCAGAACAACGAACCCTTCAAGTTGGACCATTTAAATCTCCTCATCCAAGTCACCATTCAAAAATGCAGTTTTGACATCCATTTGGTGAACAACAAGATAAAAAAATGCAAGCAAGAGCAATTAAAGTCCTAGTGGTTGCAATTTTAGTGACAGGGGAGTAAGTATCAAAATAATCAATGCCAAACTTTTAAGTAAAACCCCTTACCACTATCCTTGCCTTATACTTGTCTATGGATCCATCAGCTTTCAATTTTTTCCTATTTACAAGTAATGAGCTTACAACCTCTAGGAAGTTCAACCAATTCCCAAGTGTTACTATTGAGAATTGATTGCAACTCACTATCAATTGCTTCTTTCCAAAAAAAACAGCATCAACTCACCTCATTGCCTCATCATAGGTTCTTGGATCATCTTCCAAAACAAAGATATGCACAAAATCATCATCAATTAAGGAAGATTCAGATAAAAAGGAAGTAATAAAATCAGGACCAAAACTGTTGTCCTTTCGTGCCCATTTGCTTCTCCTTAGCTCCAAAACATAATCATCGTTAGTAATAGAAGCATTAGTAATAGGTAAACTAACAGAACTACTAGCAGGTAATTCACTATCATTAGGGGGAGACATTTTCCAAGGAAAACTGTTCTCAAAGAATTCTGCATCTCTTGCCTCAATGATATGGCCACCTGCATAAGAGTTGTTAGTACCTTTAACAAAGAAACGGTAAGCTGCACTTTGATAAGCATAGCCAACAAAAATAGCATCAACCGTTTTAGGACCAATTTTGTCCCTCTTGAAACTAGGTATTCCTACTTTTGCTAGGCACCCCCACACTTTCAGGTTTTTCAGGTTTGGTACTCGACCTTTCCATATTTTGTATGGAGTCTTGTCAAGATTCTTATGAGGAACCCTGTTCAAAACATGACAAGCAGAATGAATAGCCTCCCCCCACATGTTATTAGGAAGCCCAAAACTAATAAGCGTAGAATTCATCATATTCTTTAAAGTTCTATTTTTTCTTTCAGCTATACCGTTTTGTTCGGGTGAATAGGGAGCTGTCGTCTCATGTACAATGCCGAGTTGCTCACAAAATGCCTTAAGAGTGTCAGGGTTGTACTCACCACCCCTGTCACTCCTAACCCTCTTAATCTTCTTGTTCAATTGGTTTTCTACCTCAGCTTTATATTTGAGGAACATTTCCTCAGCTTCGTCCTTAGACCTGAGAAGATAAACCATGCAAAAACGTGAACAATCATCAACAAAGGTAATGTAATACTTTTACCCCCTCTGCTCTCGTGATTATTAAAATCACCCAAGTCACTATGAACAAGTTCTAGTACTTCAGTCTGTCTATCTACTGATTTAAATGGCTTCTTTGTGAATTTGGCTTCAACACAAATTTGACATTTCGAAAAATCAGTGTTAGAAAAACGTGGAATCAAATTTAAATGTTTAAGCCTTTTAATCAAATCAATGTTAACGTGACCCAAACTAGCATGCCATAAATCAATAGACTCAGCAATATAAGTAGAAGAAGTACTAACATTCTTATTCATAGTGTCAATTTTAACATCAAGAGTAAAAAGCCCCCCCATTACAAAAGCTCTTCCCCACAAATTCCCCATTGTGAGTAAGAACTAATCTATCATAATCAAAGGAGAGATTCAGTCCAGCTTTCATGAGCAAACTGTCAGAAATTAAATTCCTGCGCATTTCTGGAACATGTAAAACATTAGTGAGAGTAAGCAATTTTCCAGAAGTGAGAGTGAGAACGATCATCCCTTTGCCTTGGATAGAAGCAGAAGCTGAGTTTCCCATGAAGACATTTTCACCTTCAACCTTATCATAGGTGGTGAACATGTCCTTGTTGGCGCAGATGTGCCTGGTTGCTCCATTGTCAACAATCCACTCAGCAGCATTACCTATAAAATTAGTTTCTAAAACAATAGCAACAATAACGTTAGAATCCTCAATAAGATTTGCTTGACTTTGTCCATTCTTCTTCTTCTTGACTCTGCAATCCTTAGCCTTGTGACCAGTCAGACCACACTCAAAACAGGTACCCTTAAACTTGTACTTCTCAACCTTCCCTTTAGGCTTAAGAGAACTGTTTTTAGCT